TTATCTCTTTGTTATCAGAGTGTCACACAAACACACTTCCTCGACTCAGGTGCAAGCTTCAGACATGACACGGCGGAACTGAGCACCGCCGTTGACCTGCACTGGCTCACAAGCCGGGACTTGAAGAGCAGAAGCGTTCGCTCCAGCCTCTGCGTCCGAAGCACCGACTTGTATTTCGTTTGTCAGATACCTCCCAGATGCGTCTGAATTCTGAGGCCCTTTCAGGGTGGCAAAGCGGGGCAGGCACTCTATGTAGTCATCTAGATCACGAAAATCCTCCGACGGAAGCATCACGAAGTGATCGGATCCGACCTTGTGCGACATCAACATTAGAAGGCCGAGCTTGGCTGCATGGTAGGGACTCGGCCTTCAAGTGATGGTCATGAAACGATCTGAGCTCTGAATCGAGCTTCATCCGGCCAGTCATCAGGTTCGGGATACCCTGGCACAAGGCACATCTCTCATTCAGTGAGGAGCATGCGCATGATGCCGCGAAACTCAGAAGGGGGAGACATGGAGGCACCTCCATGACATGCCTCAGGGCCTGGGCGAAGGACGTCCCACACTCCCGTGTGGTGCTCAGGATCCTGCACAGATTCACAGCCGCGCCAAGTGGAGCTCACACTACGAGTAACATGAACACCTCGAAGGCTCACCGTGTGCAGACTTTGCAAGACGGGCTGTTCTTCTTTTCGGATTTGCCTGTTCCAGCTTGCCGTCGTGACTTCACTGTCCGAAGAAGCTTCTGGCACGGACACACCGTTGGAGCCGAGACTGCTCTCACAGGCCAGGGGTGTTTCCGCCAAGGGCGAAATGCTTCCCAGTACCACTCTGTCTCCTTGTGCTGAAGGTGCGATTTTGCAATGGAGGTGCTCAATCGAGGATGGAAGCAAGGCCTGCACGAATTCGATTTTAGAGTGTTGGGGTACGATGAAGTACCAGATTCGGCATTTCTCTCTGACTTTCTTGCTTTCTGCATCGGGTCAGGTTTTGGAGTCTTGGAATACGATGCAGGGAATGTACTAGATGCGGCATTTCTCTTTGACTTTCTTGCTTCGGGTTAGGCTACAATGCGGCAAAGTCACTTTCTTAGAATCCTGCGATAGACAACAGTCCCACCTGCGGAGAGGTCTTCCTCCGGATGGTCTCGGCGGTAGTCCAGCAGATCGGCGAGCCCAAGTCCCGGCAGACGCCGGTGCTCCGCCCAGAGCTCCAAGTTCTCCAGATCCAAACCCCACTGCTCCGCTGCCGCAGAAGCGATAGCACCCATCCGAGCTCGCTTGGGCGCCTCAAGCTCCGCACCCATAAAGTGGCCCAGTCCGATGCCAGCCCCAGCATCTGCGGAGGTGCCTCAGTGGCTTCAACATTCTCCTTCGACACCCTTGCGGAAGCAAGCTTCCGGAGACCCTTTCTGCAATGTTCTGCCGAGCTACTTTTCGTCGCGGGACTTCCACCGGCCAAGTCAGCGCCAGAGATTTGACTCATCGCACGGTGGCTCCGCTTCGTGCGCATAGCGCTCAGCCGTGGGCTGCTTGTCGTACCACCTGCTTTGTCGGCCTCTCGGGTGGCTTCCTCCGCGCAGCCTCCGGCAACCTCTGCCTCGCTGTCCTCAGCTGGGAACCCAGAAAGGCTCGGACTTGCTCTCCAAGGCAAAGAACTCACTTTTTCCGAGCAGCTCTCCGCGTCCGCGACGGCAGCTGCTCCCGAGACGCCGAGAGCGCACCAGTGTCGGCACAGACTGCTGGGATCTCCATGAACTCCGACAAGTGCATTGCTCTGTTTTGTCAGAACGCTGCTTTTTCTGTTGAGTTGTTAGGGCTGCTGTAAGACCGGCTGTGCTGCCTGGTACGAAGTGTGCGCCTATGTGATTTTCTCACCCGCTGATGGAGTGAAATGGCCAAGCTCGGTCGAACAAGCATGCACGAAGATCAGACAGTAGCTTCCGCAAAAATGTTAATTATCCTCTGGTATCCTGATGGGAGGCAACTGATCGTGGTCACGTCAGATTGCGCCTGTGGGGGTCCGTCTCCTCGTGCTCAGTGACGAGGCTTTGCTCCTTGGAGGTCCACTTGGCCTGCGCTGCGCCACTGCGCCGCTGCACTCAGGCCCAAGTGCCATGGACGAGGAAGGAACCAAATCGGAGCTTTCTCCGGCGCCTTCAGATCTTTCAGCTTGTCGAGCACAGGGTTGATGGCATCAGCAAACATATGCTCGATCTTCTTCTCCATGAAATTAGCGAAGGACTGGAAGCCGATAGTCTGGCACCAAGCGCCCAACAAGCACACTGTTCGACGATTATGCAATGTTGCGACAGCATGTGCACCACTGTGGAGTGTAATTTGACACAAAACGCTGTATCGCCAAATGCCTGCCTCTAGGTACTGCGGCTTCAACATCCGGTCCCTCATCTCCTTCACGTCCTGCCAAGTTAGGGGCATTCACCATGAGGCGGCTCCGTTTGCAACAGGCTTTGCTCCCAAAGCCGGCCGTCCTTTTGGTTCATGTCGTCTCGTAGCTTCACGAAAGAGTCAGCAGGACAGACCTCTCCATCCTCCACAAGTGGAGAGAAAAAGCTAGTGAAGCTAGTGGCAAACTGCTGCAACAGTGCTCCAAACCCCAAAGGCCAACCTCCCACCCGAAAACTTTCCGGAGCCTGCCACCAAGGAAGCGTCAGGGCGAAACGGACCAAGTTTTCGGGAAGGTCGCCGAAGCCGTCTACCCATTGGTTGACGTTATCCTTCCTCAAGTGGCAGATTTTGCGCTGCCTAGCACATCTGTGCAACATGCGGTGGATCTTGCTCTTGGCCAGCCACGTCAGGTCGGTGTAGTACTTATCCAACTTCGTTCGAACGAGAATGGTCCTGGTGCTCGCCGCGAGCGGGGGGAGTCAGGAAGAGAGCGGCGACGCAGCATGCACCTTCCGCTGTCCTCTGAAACTTCGGGTCGATCTTTCGGCACTTGCCCAAAGTGGACATTGTGGCTGCATCCCCACACTGGGCAAACAAACACAGTTGAACAGACTCAATTTCTTGACTGGTACAGACAGCAAAGGCTCCGACCTGCTCGACACAAAGCATCACATTGCGAGGATCCCGCATGAATTGCATCACGAGCTCTTCGATCCTTGCACGCACGTGAGTGGGCGATTTCCGGGCGACCTGAAGCAGCGAGGACGACCGGCCTGTTGCACAGCTCCTGCTTGGAGCTATCCAGCGCGAAGTCCCGGAAGCCCGGAAGATCCACTATTTGCATGTCTACACATGCAGGAGACCTCGGAGTCAGCAGATCTCGACCCCATTCGGGCTTTCGGACTGCGAGGAAACGGGGGTGGGGGAAAAGGGGATTGTGCGCAGGTTGAACCCGTCAACTCTCTCAGCATCTCTCAGCGGCTTCCGAGGGCTGCACTGGACACGAACGCAAATGGGATCAGCAGAAACCTGATGCTGTTGCACTCATGGCTGATTGATCAAGCATCTGGTGGGACACGCGGTGCCTGAACAGCTCTGCACATATTCCCTTTTCTTGCATATCTACTGCTTCATCAAAAGCAGTTCAGTCTGTCCGGAAAAAGACACCTTTCTGTGGCTCCAAGCTGTTTCCCCCAGTTCCTCATGCGCATCACCGACCTGAAAGCCACAGAGGCTGCATGCATTCGCGGATTCGGGCTTCGGGCCCCGCCCTGAGCTTCAGGTCAGGACCAGCTGCATGACTCTGCCAATCTCGTGCTCGTTCCAGTGGCCCGAGGCTCTGTCCCGAACGAACCTCGACGTCTTCGTCGGTATCCGACACAAAAGAAACAGGAAAGCCACAGTGTCGCAGGGCTCCAGGCCATTTCGATGCCTTCGTGCCGGCAACGTTTCGGAACTCGAGGATCGTGGGCCTTCGGCTGCCTTCGTCTTCCGCACTTCACTGACCAGAATCCGACCCAGCCTCCCCTCGTGCCCCCTCCGAAACCTTCATGTTCGTTCTGCGAATCAGGTTTCTGCGCGGGGCCTAAAGTCCCGGAGATGAAGTTGAAGGTCTCCCCTGCGAGGGCCTTCACGAGGGAGCTTTGCCGTGAGTCGTGGTGACAGGACACCCTCCCCCCGCCTCGATAAGTCTGCTCTTTCCCACCGATTGCTTGCCAATCAAGATGAACTGAGGCCTGAGAGACATAGGCGCAAGGCTGTGCTTCGCTTCGGGTTTGAGATGCCGGCATCGGAAAGTCCACAATGCCGATCTTGTCCTGCAGCGGCAGTGTCCGTCGCAAAAGCTAAAGCAAAATCACCCGTGAATAGCGATCCTCCGCACGACACTGCCCAACTACCAGTTGCCAAAAAGAAAAGCCTCCCATACCAGATGTCCTGAACACGGGCTTTGACATCGCCCAGCAGGTTCAGGAGCTCCGACCGGGATCCCACACCTTCGCATCTCGCTGCCACTGGCAGAGTGCCTCCCTCGTCCATCCCTCACGGTGCTGGGGACCCCACCGGCCATGGCGGCTGCTCTGAGCCCAGCTGGGAGAGCCGCCAGTAAATCGAAGCTGTGAGCCATAAGGCAAAGAGATCCGATCCGAGTTTTCCGGTTTTCCAGCTGAAGTCGTGGACCACGAAGTTTCGGGCCAGGCACGGGGTTGAACTTGCAACATTATGGCACACAGGACACACGTCGTGGAGACACGCATCCTGCTGCTTTGTGTGTCTGCGTGCGAATGTTCAGTGACTGTGAATGCAAGGCCCGTGACATGACAGAAGGCGCAGTCGTGTCCCGCTCCCCAAGTGGAGTCCCGAATCAGTCAACGAGCTGGACTTGTTTCTTCGTTGGCACGACTCATCCGCGGATACGCTTTGTACAGGCTCTGGGCATTCGAGACTTCCGAGCGCCGCTGGCAATCATAGTGACACTTTTCTCTAGAGGATATGGTGAAACCAACTCAAAGATCCTGCGGCACTTCAGCACGGAACCACTGGAATGAGCATCCGTTCGTACTACGAAACCCATGCCGCAGGCATTGCAGGTCCTTATCCGCCGAGGGCAAATCCGCCTGCCTTCAATAGGCAGGAAAGCTTTGCACGAGGACTCTTTCAGGGATTTTGAGCAGGAATGGGCCTGGTCAAGGATGCTAGGAGACATCCAGACGAGGATACCAACGCCAATGAACAGCACCTCGGAGGTGAAGGATCTTCGGCTTTTCATCGCCCCTACCTCTAGTTTTTTCTCAGATGGTCGCTGCACCACAGCAGGGAAGACCAATGGCGACCTGTCAAATCTCCACACTGGCGAGATTCTGGCGCCGAGAAACTTACACTTGGTGCCGAACACTGGCTTTCCTCTCCCAAGTTCGCACTTCGCACTCATCGTAGGGCTTGACCTCATGCTGCCCAATGCTAAAGGTGAAGATACAGAGCTTGATAAGATTATACAACGTCTATAATGCGTTTCCCGAAGTAGACGCCTTGCCGATGTGTAAAACACCCCAGTTGATGCGAGATAGCCCCGGGACCAAGTAGCCCAGACATGGCCAGTCCATGCTTGAGGCTGCAGCCCTGTAGTGCCTCTTGTACCACGAACACGTGGAACGTACCTGAAAGTGACACCAAGGGCCTGTTAAAAAACTGCGCCAGCGTGCTGATGCTTGCTTGCATGCAGCGTGGCGCACGCCCAAGAGGCAAAGCATCAACCCCAGCACAATGCACACCACGGCCGCCGCCGTTGGCAGCAACCTGGGAAAATCCATTCACCGGTCTCTCGAGAATGAAAGCTGCATCGAAAAGGCTGGCACGTGTCACAGGCCATGCTGCCCTGACACCTGCATCGGGTCCATGTGTGATCTCAGTGCCTGTGAGACTCAGATGGCTTTTGCCTGAACAAGTTTGGTATTGAGGGCACGGCTCGCAGACATTGCCATCGCACGAGGAGCAATACTTGCAATCGCCTTGTCGGCAACTGCGCTGAGGGGCTTCGGATCACTACATTTTCGCTTCGCGCCTCGAGGTGTGTAGGCTCTGTTGGCTTGCATGCACCTCGCTGACACAAGCAGCCAGCTCGTCTTGGAGGGTCGGACCTCCTCTCTCCTTCTCCCTCTTTTGATTTGCTTGGGGTCAAGACCAAGAGCAGTCGCGTCCCCGTCCATCATGTTGATGGAGAGGGCTCTGCTGTACGGTGGTCCGATGTACCGAACGAGGTGAACTGTTGTGCTGCCCCGGTGGAGGCAGGGTCAGAGCACCGGGTTTGGTAAAGGCACATAGACAGTACACATCCTTCTCCCTCTCTCCCTCTCTCTCTCTGTCTCGTCTCTCTCGCGCGCCCTCTCTCAAGTTTAGAGATGGACGGAGTCGGACTTGGGTCCCTGCTCGATCATCTCTTGACTTGGCATCTCTTCAAGCGCGTAGACGTACTCGGCATCCTCCGTCCTGCAAAGACGGCCGCGTCAGGTCAACTTCTAGAGGGGATAGACAGGATGGCGCTGTGGCGCTGTGCCTGCAGCGATAGCGATCGCACTGGCAGGCCGCAGCCGACACCACCGGGATCAAGGCCACCACGCGCTTCATGGCGGCACAGGCTGGTGTTGCAAAGCTGGCCCACTTGGGGTTGTTCTAGATTCTAGACTCAGACTCGCGCTGCAGGACTCTGTTGCGCATGAGAGGCCTGAGTGCTGGTTGCAATCTGCTCGAAGTCCAGAGTGGCAGCTCGACTTCGGTGAAAGTGCCCTATGAATACACATTGTGATCCGTCGTTCTCTGTCTTGAGCGGTTCGTTTGGGCAGGAAGCAAGCCTGGAGCCACAGGATCAATCAGAGTTCACCCCCAAAATAGCTGGTGATGCGAGTTGTCACAATGCCAGTGATGCAGAGTCGGAAGAGGCAGAATGCCCTGATTCTGGCAAAGCTTTTCAGCCGTGAGGCATGCAATGAAGATCCCATCAAGGCTCAGAACTCAGAACTCGTGGCTGAGCTTGGAGAAAGCAAACACCGACCCCGCCTCACAGCTGCTATGACAACATCCCTCCCCGCCACTGAACACCCATCATGTTGGCGGATCCTGCAACACACGCTGGGGTTGCAGCGACACACAGAATGTTGAAGGCAAAGAAAGTGGAGATGGCGATAAGTGCATACCTCAGTGCTTTCCTACCTTGGGACATGACACTCCACGGACCCGAACAAAGCGAGCTGCTTGAAACCGTCGCTGCGGTATTTCAGGACCTCCGCAACGGGATCCTGCACAAGAGCCGCGAGTGCTGATGCTGGTGTGTGAGTTCCGCAGTCCTGCATCCAGTAGAAGAAGAGCGGGTGGTTAGCTTTGATATTGTAGGCCGCCTCCAACAGAAACCACTTCATGCACAAGTCACACCATCGTAAGCCGTCTGTCACTTCGCGACACCAAGTCTCGCCGTGCAAGAACTCGCTGGCCTCCGCTTGCTGCACCGCGAGGCGGAAAAAGGGCCGCTGGTCTTCGCCTAACGCGAAAGGACGAGAGCCTTTTTGATCAGCGAAGCGCAGCTCGAAACTTCTGCTGAGGCCAGGGGCGCATCAGGCGCAATCCGGAACGAGCTTTGGGATTGTCAAACCTGCAACCAATCGAGACATCTCATTCAAGCACAAGCCTCCATTGCGTTCACTACAGCTCTGCTCAACGCATGTTGACAGGTCTGAAATGATGCAGCACCGAACAACTCGAGGAAACCGAGGGCGCAGCTCACCACAGCGGAAATCGGCAGTCGTGCCGCTGCAGCAGTTCACCCCCACCTGAGGAACTGTGACACCGGGGAGCTAGATGCGATGTGTCTGTCTCGGAATTATTCTTTTCCACTCCGCGATGCAACACAATGACTCTTTGGTTAACTGACTATCTATGAGAATCTGTTGCTGCAAACCTTCCTGCACAAACGACAGATCCTCCCCCTCCTTCTCCGCCTGCTCCTCCTCCTCTCCCTTCAAACTTGGCACTTTCACCCTCAATGGACTTGGGCTTGAGTTACAAGGCTCAGCACTTGGCAGCCCAGAAGTCGTAAGAAGCGAGAGGCTCCTTTCGAGTGCTCACGGTTTCTTGGCTCACAGACCTGGCAAATCCGCCTGATCTCATCATCTCCCTCCCCTTGCAAGAAGCCCTTCGAACAAATCGCCCTAAACTGGCAGACTTGCGACCGCAGCTCCGCAATATTCTGACGGCAGTCCTGTCCAAAGACGATGGGTGCAACGCAGTACCTGGCAGGTCTTGAGCCCTGATAAATCCGATCGGGTTTGCGATGATTTTCTTTGCGCTCTCCGACATCCAGATCAACGCTGAAGCTTGCATGCACTAGACACCCTTTCGTTTGGCCAACGTGCCTGTCGAGGTTCCGGAATGCCATGGCCTTGGAAGTGTCCAACCTCGCAGGCTTGGACGGACATCCATTGCCGATCAGTTTCGTCCCTATTGAACTCTCCCGTATCATTGCAAATGCGCCTGTAGCAACATTCAGATGTTGATATCACGATGAGGACCAAGATGGTGATGCATGCTTACGATGAGGACGATGAAAATGATGAGTATGATGAAGATGACGAGTATGATGAGTATGATGAGGATGATGAGGATGATGAGGATGATGAGGATGATGATGAAGATGACGGGATGATGAGGATGATGATGATGATGATCATGATGTGGATGGTGATGGTGAAAAATGGTGATGACGACAATGACGGTGATGATGGTGATGGTGATGATGAACTTGATCCTTAGTAGATTTAGTAGTGATGCAGTCAGTACACTTGCTGCCCAAACTTTGGGAGGTCTCCCCCAGCGCCCAGAATCTGAGCAGCTTGCCCAGTGCCGTCCTCGAAGTAAACGCGACCGGCATCCATAAGCTGCTGCCCTTTCTCCCGCGCAGGGTTCACCTCACATCGGAACGGTCCACGCCGCTCTCTGCGTTCAATCTTCGGTGCGCTGTCGATCTGAGGGAGACGCGGAGGGGTAGGTGTTGATGTTCTCGATGTCATAGTACGGCTGCATGTTGTACCAGTAGTTCATGTCTCCCAGGACCTCGATGTGAACCCTACCACACCCATCTTGGGGATGAGCCAACAGCCCCTATGCAAAGCAAGCCGTAGGCTTAAAGAAGGCCAACAATTGGTACATGTACCTACATCGGGGCCCTTGCAGCCGCAGAGACGGTGGCAAGGCCTAGAGCCAGGGCTGCAAAGGTGTACCTGGAAGCCATGGGTATGACTGGAGCAGTGAGCATGTTCTTCGAGAGCACCAAGTAGGATCCTGGTCCTGCATCTTGGTCCTGCGCGCCATGACACCTTCGGAAGTCGACAGCCACATAGGCAAGCAACTCCCGCGCATGCATGGTCTCGCCGCGCCTGCACCTCCGGCAAAAGCGAGGCCCGCAAGCACCGCCAACCAGGCCAGGACGGGGCTTTCGTGGTGGGTCGAGAAGGACATCGAGGCCTGGGCGTAATGAGGCATGGCATGGCGCATGCTAGGAAAATCTAGGAAAGACTGACTTAGAAGCTGGCGAAGACACCGCAGAAAACCAGCCACGGTGTGAGAACGTTGACCAGAATCGAGACCTTGCGGGCGGAATGCAAATATCGCGACAAGATGCGACAAGTCAGCCGCGCTGGTCACGAGTTGCACGACAGCTTGAGTTCACTGGGGCTCCGTCCACATTCAAGCGCTTGCGCTTCCCGAAGCCGAAGCTGCTCTCAGGGTCCATCCGAGGAGAGATGCCGGCCTCCGGAGCTTTTGCATGTCGGCAATCGGCTGTCGGACACTGTCGGCTTTGAGCTCGGAGCGGACGGGCTCTGCCTTGCGTAGGCGCCTGAGATGACACTCGTCGCGTCTTGTCATCTGTGTGCCGTTCCCATATCCCGCCTTGGAAGGTGCTGTAGGGCTTCGACATGTCTCTGCTATGCTCAGATACTTCGTTGTGGAACTGAGAAGCCTAGAAGGCTCTGGAAACAAGGGCGGCTGCATCACATGCTCTCAGAGATCTTCAGAGCAAGATCTGCAGATGCACAAGGCTTATATTAATAGGAGTCGGCTAGCTTTAGTTTTTGTCCCAGTCCACTCGTGCCGCACGTCGGATGGGCTCAGTAAGGCCTAAAAGCTTCGTCGAAACCCCGCTTTTGGCCTTGCATGCCGGGCTTGTTGTCCGCAAACTTCACGGTGAAGCGACAGCTCCCGAGCATCTCCACTGCCTGGTCTGCATCCTCGGGTTGGGCAAACCGCACGAAGGCGCATGGCGAAGCTCCTTGCTTTCTGAGGATCTTGACATCAGCGACCTGGCCAAAGGGTGCCATCATCCCCCAAACGAATTCCATGTTCACGGCCTCAGGTAGGCCGCCTACGAAGACCTTTTCACCTTGGCCGCCCCCCATCGATGTTGGCACTGGGTCATCACCACCTTTGGCCTTGACCAAGCCTGATGGGGCCGGCGGAAAAGCCTGGAACTGTTGCTGCGGGGGCTGAAAGCCTTGCTGAAAGCCCTGCTGCTGGAAGCCCTGCTGCTGAAATCCTTGCTGCTGAAATCCTTGCTGCTGAAAGTTGCCCTGTGACTGATATGCTTGGGAATACGGCTGCCCCGCAGCCGTTCCGCGCATAGTTGGAGGCGGCACAGCTCGCATAGGCATTGGGGCAGGTGCAAAAGCCTGCATCTGCGGCATTGGCGGCATTGGCACCTGTGACCGAGACTTTGCGAGGTCGGCCATCTTTGCAACCAGTGTCTTGCCTTCAGCCGCTAACTCTTCCTTGCCACTCAGAGCGTTGATGCAAACCTCTGCCTCCGTAAACGACGAAAAGGTGACGAAGGCACAGGGCATGGATTTGTCGTTTTTGGTGAAAATCTTGCTGTGGGTAATGGTTCCGAACTGTTGGCACACTCTGCTGATGTCGTCGGACGTGATCGTTGGCGCAAGGCCTCCGATGAAAACCTTGGGCTCCTGCTGGGCACCTTTCGGCGCTCCCTTGACGTCGGCTAACTTGACATTTATACCTTCGGGGTTCCCGTCAGCTTTCATCGGCGTTTTATCAAGCTCCGCGATAGCCTTCTCAGCAGCTGCCCATGTGTCAAAGGTGGCGAAGGCACAGTTCTTGCCCTCCAGCAACTTGATGGTGTGCGCTCCATACGGCGCAAAGAGTTCTTCGAGGTCACGCTGCTCGCAATTCGCAGGAAGTCGCCCGACGAAAACTTGCGGCTGGACCTGAGAAGCACCCATGGGTGCCTGCGCGGCTGCCCCGAACCCGAGGCCGCTCTGCGCAGCTCCCGGCATGGGCCGCCAATCGGAAGGCATTTCACCAGGCCGCACCTTGCTGGTCGCCATCCTGCCACGAAGAAGAACCCATGCACAGCAGGCGATCAAAGGCTCCGAGGCCGTGACTTTACATTGAGACCCTGCCCTGGCTGACCTCACAGGCTTCCAGCATAAAAACACAAGATGCCTGAATCCAAACTCAAACTCTGACCTCCAGGCATCTGGTAGCCGTTCAGCTCTGCAATGGCGCGCTGACCGTAATCCGCATTGGCGAAATCCGCGAACCTGGCAGCCGGAGCTCCCAACAGTCCAAGAGCACATGGGGCCTCAAGGACCAAAGACAGCGAGGAAGGCGCGCAGCCCTTGCCATCCAGGATGCGAACGTTCGTGGCTCCGTATGGGACCTCTGTTACACAGCCTTTCGGCAAACACGCAAGAGAATGCCCAACTCAGGCTGAAGCCAGGAGATCGGAGATCTCTGCAACACCTTCCAAGAAAGCCACCAAAGGGTTGCGGCTGCTTGGCGCCAAAGATTTTAAGTGGCGTGTATCTGCTGTCCGGTACCTATGCCGGGCGGAATTCGACCAATGAAGACCTCCATGCTGGCCATGTCCTTGGAGTGGTGGGTGGAGACGAAATCTCATCGAGGCATTCTTTGCCTCACAGCCCCGCCTCGAAGCTAAGTCGGGAGAGCGGCTGCTGGCACCCTAGTCTGCATTTACATCAAAACTCACAGATCATGAGGTTGCTATCAGCGGTGTGGCTGATCAAACTCAGTCAATCCATAATGTGTGGAGGCTGAAGGTGGGTCGGCGAATGGCGAAATGGCTCGGCGAATGTGGCATGTCTTACGGTATCCCTTTGAGCCATTCCTGGACAACACGCGCAGCGCCACGTCAGGTATGCCACATCTGAAGTCGCCGGCGGAACAGCTGCTTGCACTGAATGAAAGATGATTTTGACACGGCATTAGCTAGATAGTGCATTATCAGGGCAGCATCACCTGCCTGCTTTACAGGCCTGGGCAATTGCTGTAGTCGTTTGCATGCGTCCTGCACCTCCACCACAGCTGCTGCATGTACACCAAGTGTAAAATGGCAGATGCCAACAATCTGACTGCGAACATGCAGCAAGCGGAGTAGCAGCGCGTGGAGCATTTAGCTTTGCATATGAAACATGTTGCGGTCAGATTCCATGTCGGTGCATCTGGCTGGTGGCATTACGATTCCAGTATCATGCGGGATCCGACCGCGTCGGCCTATTCACAGTAACGTACACGCAAGAGACGTCCAGCCAAAGCTGGCATAGACGAAATCGGGAACTCAGGAAGCTCGCCAAAAGCAGCAAAAGCGGCAGCGTGTCAGAGCATACAGGAGTGAAGCGCATCACTTGCGGCGGAGTACCACTCGCTGATGCTGCGAAACCTGTCGTGCCATCGGCCACCTGCTCGGTGTTAGAAAGACGAGTTCAGTACGGCACAGAAGCAGACTCTGAATGCCATGCAGTACTACGCAGTACTATGTTACTCTGCGGTATGCTCATGTCAGCTCACAGCAGAGCCTGGCCTGGTACGCTCAGTGAGGCCTCGCAGATGCGACGGAGTTTTTAGAAAACTGTAGAACCCAACCCGGCAAACCAACTCAAACTTCAAACCGTCATCCGACTTGAAATGAGCCCAGCCTCGCCCTGCAGCGCCCAAAGAGAGGCAGCCGCCTCCTGTTGGCAATGCAGTCGCTACGTCCGTGCTGAAGTCCTTGTGTCGTGTGCTTTTCCCAGCGTCACTCCCAAACTTTTCACCCAAGGGCAAAAGAGCATGGGCACCATCTTCTGGATGGCAAGGCTCCTGGACTAAAAACTAGTAGCCTAGCAGTGTCGACCAATGTCGAGTCAGAAGTCCTCGGCGGAAGGAGTCACGCCGTCAATGGGCACACACCGCCACAACCAAAGAGTCACGGCTCCCATGGCCCCAAGCAATATGATGCCAGCAGTCACTTGGTCACTGGTAGTCAGCACAAGTACCCTTTCGACCGCAAGAAAGAACGCGAATGTGCCGGCACCAATGGCGACAAGCCCTGCTGCGATCAGCGTCTGAGGAGCTCGCAGGTGGCGTGCTTTGTAGGCGAGGTTGAGCAAAAGTAAGCAGACACTTGGGAGGAACATGAAGCACAAGGTCACAGCTGCCAGGGCCACTTCCACGAGGTCTTCTGTGGATGCTCCCTTCATGCTGTCCGTGCACCAGATGTCGATCATGATCCAGAGAGACGGGCTTGCAGCCTGCACGATACGCCAGTATGAGAAGACCTGCGTTTTCAGCTGGTGGACCAGCACTGTCAGGAGCCGAGTTCGGACAATCTCCTCGAAAGCGTCTGCTGACCCGAACCAGAGCGAGATACACCGCACAACAATTTTGCGGTCGCAAACCATTGTCTCCCCGGTGTGTGGATCAACATGCTCACAGGAACAGCAGTGGCACGAAGACTTGTCAATGGTGAAACTGCGAACTTGATCCTGGATTTCTTCGATACTGCGATAGTGGGCAACCACCGCGATCGCGAAGAGCATCAAACATGGAACGGTGAGAAGACACATGACGAGGCCACCCCATGGAAAGATCGGCACCTGTGAAAGGAGGTATGCGACCAGAAGCACGCTGAGACCCAAATGACCAATGAGGAGTGCCGGCGCGACAAACACCGGGCAAACCACCAGGTTCTTCCTTGCACCTGGCTGTCGACTGTGAAGGAATGCGGCCATTTCCTTTGCCGCTCTTTATTCGCGATATCTCAACTTTAAAAGTCTCTCTGAGCCACAGAATGGCAAAAGTGATGCTAGAAAACTGTCTCGCAGTGCCAAGTTGCAAAGATGCACCATAGTCTCGAAGCCCATGTCACATCCCACAAGACCAGAAGCGACCTGGAGCTTTTCAAGAAGGCACCGATGCTCAGTAGACCTTCGGCCTTTAGCTGTGGATCAGTCTGGCAAATACACGCAATGTCTAGGAAGACCGGCTTCCTCCGACTCCACAGCAACAGGGTCAGGTAGTAACTCAGGACACCGGTCACTGTGCCCCACAGATTCCATGGAGGCAGAATGCGCAACACGCAGAGGGAGCCGACGGAAGCAGCGCTGAGCGTACCCACAAGGAATGCTGGCAGGCCATGGTTGAGGAGAAGGACATTGGTAAACTTTGTCACTGCACCGGTGGACCAGCTGTGAGACCAAAACTCTTCAAACTGATCTGTTGCCTCACTCAGAGCATACAGTTGCTTAAGATCTCCTCGAATCCATCTGGATGGCCCGCTTCGCAGGGCTCTAGAGGCTCGCACTCCACGAAGGATTTCGGGTCTCGTGGCCCGCATCTGTTCCATGAAGCGGACAAACTCTTCGATGAGCTCAGAGGACTCCGACTCCTTCCATTTCCATGCAGGTCCCTCACTCTCTGAGAGAGCATCCTCGGCTTGCAAACCAAGACAGACGGGCTTGGGTTCCAGAAACTCGCTTGGCACCTCGAGCGCCACCTCTTCACACATGGTGGCGACAACTTCAAATCGCCGATCACTGGAGCCGAAAGAGTTTCCAGTGAAGCTGTCGCACAAACTGCTAAGAAGCCCCAGGCCACACGAAACTGCATGGGGGCCCTTCGAGAAAAGATGACAAGCGAAGGGCTAAAGACTCGCAAGCTCGGAGTTCTCAGGAGTCTCATCGGGTCTCCCTGAAACTACCAGCTGCAGCCCAGCAGCATCAATGAAGCAATCAATGACAAAGCGACAAGCAAGAACGAGAAAGAGGGTGGATGCGGAAATTTGTCACACTGATGAAGACCCGCAGGAGCCGCTGAAGAAGGCTGCAAACAATTGACCAATGCCAAGGTTGCTAAAGGTACCTGAAACCCTCCTGGTACTACGCACACTAGAATCACTAGAACAGACGGCAAGCTCCTCAACAGCGTCCGTTCGTGCCCGCAGAGCATCGAGAGCGAGGCGACAGCGGTCCCGCTCCTTTGAGGGCCCGAAGAGAGAGAGAGAGAGAGAGA